TGTTTGTGAACTTTTTCCTTCTGGTAGATAGGGGCAGCTGGGTGAGGGGGCTGCTCTTTTTTTTTTTTTTTTTTTTTTGCTTTTCATTTTAAAGTATTGAGGCGGAAACATCTTTAAAACGCTGTCCTTTTACAGTTAGAAAGTCCAAAGTTTAGTGATGCAACACTTGTTCCTCTCACCGAGACAAAACTTGGCTGGAAAACCCAAAAATCAGATTATTTTACAAGCTCAGTAGCTAAATACAGTTCTAATTGTGAATGCAAACGGGAATAATGCTGTAATTGTTTCATGGTAATCATTAAGCCAGTAGCCTATTTAATTCCTGCCGCATAAGTTGAGGTATTAAGAGGAATATCAATGAATTGCACCTAAGCAAGCACAAGAATCTGCAATTCATAGCATGAGCTGTGTAGAATATTTCATGATGGCTCTACAGCTCGTTAACATTTTCCAATTCTTCACAGTTTGAGATCGTTTCTTTGCCCACTCCTACCTCTTTGTGTACTTTGATATCAGCTCAGTCCTTTGTCCTTTTGTTGACTTTGGCCCTTGTTTGTCATTTTAGACGCTCATGATGCAGTTTTGCGGTTCAACGCGGCCCCAACAGAGGGATATGAGCATGATGTGGGAAACAAAACTACCATCCGCATCATCAACTCGCAGGTACGTCGAAATCTGAACTCAGATTGATTTGAAGGATTTTGCATTTCAGATTTGTGCAGTTCTCTGATTCACCTGAAAAGTATCTATATTGTACTTTTCAGAAAGGGCATTGTTGTTAAAACTGATTGAAATTCTCTCAGTCGATACAAAATACGACTCATTCAGGGTACGAGGAATTTTATTGTTGTAGATTGAAGGTGGAAGTTTAAGATTCCAGCTTCTGTAAAATGAAAGAACTTCAAATTAACAGCATATTTGCACAAATGCTTCATACCAGCTGTTCCAGTGAAGCGGATGTTAAATTTGAAATATTCTGTTTGACAACAAACTTGTTAAAGATTTGCTTCAGTATCAGAGACTGATAGTCAAACACTCAACGTTTTCAGTTTTGTTAATGTTGGCTCAGGTTACAGCTATTTGGATTTACACTGCATACCTTTTATGTTTTATAATGGTATGAATTGGAGATGCACAGAGCCATCAGAATCAGAATCAACACATTTTTTGCTTGAGTGGTTTGGCAAAGACTAGATAATAGTTTTTTTTATTATTATTTTTTATGAGTTTAACAAAAGCAGATAAAGGACAGAGAATACATACATCGCTGGAAAAAAATTAAGAGACCACTTAAAATGATAAGTTTCTTTGATTTTACTTTTTATAGGTATATGTTTGAGTAAAATGAAGATTGTTCTCTTATTCTATGGCAACATGTCTCTGAAATTCCAAGCAAAAACATAGTATTTATTTGCAGAAGATGCGGCGCTTTCAGACTGTAAATGTAAAGAAAACAAGTTAATATTCATTTAGAAACAACAATACTAATGTTTTAACTCAGGAAGAGTTCAGAAACCATTATTTGGTGGGAAAACTGTGAGGTTTTCAGTGGAGTTGAGTGCAGCAGGCTCTTAATTTTTTCCAGAACTCTATCCCGATACATTAAGACTGCTTTTATAATTGATTACATTTCCTGGCAGATTCACAGTCGCTGTCTCTTTCAAAGAAAATGCTGCATATTTTCAATCCTGTTTGTGTTATAGTCCTTTAAAAAAATGTCATAATCAAACCAGCAGATCAGAACCCAAAGGAAACTGGAAATTGGCATCGGCAAGGAAAAGGTTGATCGGTCCATCTCTGGTAAAAGTTTAAACAAAGAAGGCAACTTGATAAATTATTTTGTGGTTTAAGCATTTGAATAAATATGTTTGGCACAAAAAAGGCTCAAGGCAGCATTAAATTAAATTTGGCATACCTGTAAGTAGACGCCTAAATCGTCACGTTTCCTCTTTACAGATTTTGGCGAACCCCAAGCATGAGTTCAACACGAGCTCCATCTATAAGAACATAACGCTGGTGGCCTGGGATCCTGCGCCTTACACTGTCGACTTGCAAAAGGTATGTACCCTGTAGAGGGCCGGCTGCTTATGCATCAGCGGCTTTAAAGGATTATAAATTCATGAACATCAACGCTGTGATGCGTGAATCGCAGACTATAGAAAATCCAGTACGCATCTGATGAGTCTGACACACTTCATAGAAATGTTCTCCTTCCTCGTCGCATTGCCAAGGTCACTTCAGACATGATATCTGGGCTTCTAATTCCCAGAGATGATCACACGCACTCTTCAGTTCTCACTCTCATGCTCTCGTCTGATCGCCGTGTGACTTTGAACGAGCTCCGATTTGTTTTTTTGCTTTTACTTTACCACTTTCTTTTTTTCTTTGTGTTGTCACTGTTTCCTGCAAACGTGAGTTTCCAGAAGTTCTGTACCAAATAATCAACTCTAATGACAAGTTCTAATTATTTTTTTTCTATATCATTTTAAAAAGTATGAAAATGAGTCAAATAACAGATGTTAGGTACATATCCTTTAACACGTGAATGCGGATAATCCTGTAATTTCTTCATTTTCTGCTGCTTCCAACACTACTACTTCTATGAGAGAACTATCGGCTCTTTCTCCTCTTTTATGTGCCGCAGTCCTTGGGAAGAAATATTGTAATTGGTCAAAAAGGGAATAACAGCAGCTCAACCTGCAAATACATAAACTGGTTTCAGCCAGGAAAGCATGATTTATGCATCTCTAGTTCCCACAGTCTGTGAGATCCGTTCTATTTGCAATTAAAATTGATTTGCATTTATGCTGTTGGTGGTCTGCTGTCTGAATGGTTTAAATTATTCCTTAGTATTGGCATTACAATTGAAAAAAAAAAATCCACTAGATTGTTAATTAGCTTTTTCCATTTCATCCTCTGGGTTGAAACAGAAGAAAATGATTTTACTCTTTGTGCCTTAGCGGCTTCACACAACAACCACATCAAGAAGAAGCCGTGCTATTAGCCAATTAGCCAATGTTGCTCAGAAAAACTGGGAACAAAACAAGATTTAAAGAAAAAGGGTAATTAGTTTACTGAAATTCAAATAACGTTCAGTGTTCTGCTCCGGTTTCACCATGAGAAATTCTCAGACACAAGAAGAAAGGGAGGAGGATTATTTTCAAGATTTCTGGAAATGGCACGGTGCTTGGAAAGCTCTCGTCTCAACAGCCTCCTGCGCTGCTGTCAAGTGATGACAAGATTGTCTGAATTTAAAAAATCAAGAATACGAAAGTGCAGTTTCTGGCACCTTGAAAAGTCATTCACCTGGTATTGTGGCCTTCCTGCTTTTTGTATTTTTTCTTTTCTTTTTTTTATGTCATGTCTTTATTGACGGCTGTGAGTCTTTTCAATGCTTTTGTTCAAGTTTCATGGTCATTAAAAGTCTGGTAAATGTTTCAAATAAAGTCTTCATTCTTCATTGTCTTCATTCATGACTATTAGCTTTTGCTTCAAGGATATCAAATTAGCATCAGAATAAACCTCTGAATATTTGTGATGTAATTTGAAATGACAGATCACATTGTTATCCGTTTGGAAACCTTGTCGTGGTTTTTATTTTTTTGTTGCGTTTTTCACTGAAATGTTAATTGGTCGAAGGAGAATGAAGAAGACAATTAAAAATGTCTTTATATAAGGCTTCAGCACACACAACCACACATTTATTTCCCCAAATTCACATGTGCAGCTGTGATAATAAACCAAATATTTGAGATGGACTTAGTCTGGCAAAAACCAGACCGCTTACACTTTGCTTGGTACAGAGGGTCTGCGCTGTTGAGAAGCGATTGTAAAACTATATTGAAGTAATGCTACTCTTGGGTAGCATTACCCAGCCTCAGTCACTAAAACAGTAATAAACAACTAATGCTTAAAGTCATTTATTTTCTCTCTTTTCTTAAAAGTACGCTACAAAAAGATAGAAAAACAGCCTCTGGAATGCCAGCTTTTTTCACCAAAAGAATATTTTTCTGTAGGTAGCTGCACTTTTAAAATTTTAAAGATGTTCTTCCAATTTAAAGTAAAAAATGCCCCTTCAGGCTTTATATCAAGAAGAGTCAAATTGAATCCAAACTATTAAGACAGCAGCACAAAGTTCAGAAAAAAGTGGCAAAACGTATGCTGGTTAACTTTTCAAATAATGATACAAAAATCTGCAACTTGTGACACTAAAGATCATTAAGTTTTCTCAAAATAAAAATGCAAGTGGACCAACATGTATAAATGTATGTAATGTATCACATATCATTTTCTTCTTCTTTGTCTTCCTTCTTTGTTTTTAAATGAAGCTGATCGATTGATCGGATGTTTAATGCTTATAAAAATTGGCTGCAGGGTTGCCGTAGTAACACTAAGGAGCAGGATGCTTTGATGTCCACACAGAAAATGAGAGAAAACCATAAAAAGACGTTGCTCAAGTTTTTATGGAAGTTCACCAAGTTCTGAGTCGTCGTACCTCAACTAAACTGTTCAATGTTCGATTCGTGGCCCGGGGCTTTTACTGCACATCTTTCCTTTCTCTTCCACTTTCTGTCTCTATTAATATTTTTATTATAGGGAAAGTTTCATGTTCTCCAGAAAGTAGAAGAAAATATGTTGTTTTAACTGAAGTGTCACCATAATCTGTTGAAATCGATATATTCAGCTCAGGATCGATGCGTTTCTACCTTTTTCATTCCTGTTAATTCCAAATACTCTATTAAAAAAAAAAAAAAAATCTCTGTACTTAATGTTTAGTGTTTGATTTAATTGAAGTCTAATCTTGACTCTGGCAAATAATGAAAAAGGAAAAACCCGGCGATCTCTGCTGACTCGTATTCTCCATGTTCTTTTACTGAAGCGATTTTGTTTTAAGTCCGTCTTGTTCAGCCATCATGCATTTTTAAACTCCAGGTCTAACAACAAATGAATAAAACATGACCAACTAACAGTGGGGATAACAGACAAGTAGCAATTGAATATGTTGCAGAGTCAAATATGAAATAAACACATCAAAATCAATGCTCGGGGTCGTGTCAGCGAAGAGATACGGTGGTAGATAAAAATTAAGATTCACAACCGCGTGTTGCTATGGCCTTAGTGGAAACAGTGAATCAGGGATGAATATGAAGCCGAAGTGCCAGTTCATCTTCAAGACAAAAGAAATGGTGCCGGCTTCTCTTGAACTGCTTGACATCGTGAGCCTTTCATCTTCTGCAAGTGTCTTCACATTTCTTCTTTTTTTTGTTATTTTTCTCACACTGGTAGGCAGCTTAATTAGATATGTAGAGATGATCTCTTGACCTTTCAACACTAGAACAATTCAACAAATGTAATTCTTAATTTCCAAAAATGACCACAGATTTATTCTAACGGATTGAAAATATATATTTTAAAGTATGAATGCTATTTAAAAAATATAAATCCATCACTTTTCCTGCACCACAGATGTTAATATATAGTTAAAACAGTGTTATGTATTTTAAGGACATATTGTAGCTTAAGGATGAAACCATCTCTTGGTAAGATTTGCTGTACAAATAAAACTAAAATAGAAAAGTGCCATGCATAGATTAACAAAATTAATAATCTGAATAATAAAATAACATGGAATTAGGGAAAATACAATGGAATTAATTTCTAGATTTGCAAATGTATACATAAATGTGTCAGTGATATAAATTCCTATGAAATAAACACATTAAAGGAGAGATTTGTTCAGAAGATGATGATTTTCTGAACAAAGTTGAACAAATATGTAGTGGTTTAATTTCTGTCTGCATTGTTTTACTCATGATGCCTTACAAGCAATGGCAACTTTTACAGCTGCCTTTTAATTCAATGATGCCACAAACAAATTGCACCCAGAAACAGTAAAATGTCTCATGTTGTTTTAAACGTTTGTATGGCTTTTTTTTTTTTTGGTGAAGGTTTGATGGAAACTGTGCCAGTGTGAGTTAATGAGTTAATCTGCGGTATTGATGCTGTGAAAAACATTAAGATGCTCAACTATCTGCTTAAAGTTTTCTATGGTGGCTTCCCTGCTGAGAGTAAGCACACTCTGCAATCCAAAAATCTAAGTTAAACCAACAAATCAGATCTTTGTTGGGCGGTGACTGATGGATTTAGAAAACTCTCGGTGTTTCCTTCGTCATTTAGGGTTAAATTTAGTTTGTTTTAATAAAATAAAATAAAATAAAGGGTCTCGTGTCGTTTTGAATTCCAAAATGCTGGAAGGATCTGAACGCTTTCAGCACTGCAGACATCAAGTATAGATTATCTAGTAAGTTTAGTTTTTAAAGCGCTAGAACTTTTATTATGGTAATTATTAAAACCTGTAAATGTTTTATATCTACGCATTTAAAATGAATGTCTTTCTCGCTTCAACTAATGTGTTTTTTTTTTTGTTTTTTTTCTCTCTCTCCAGTGGTATGCCAGTCCGGACTACAACCTGTTTGGTCCGTACATAGATCACCGTAAGGCCCACCCCGACCAGCCCTTCTACATCCTGCACCCCAGCTATGTGTGGCGGCTGTGGGATGTGATTCAGAGCAACACTCAGGAGAACATCCAGCCCAATCCGCCCTCGTCTGGCTTCATAGGTGAGGACACACACTCGCAGCGAAATGTGGGCGCTACATACTTCACCGTTCCTGCAGTACCGCCTTTCTACTTTTCAGGTTTCAGCTCTGAAAAATTCATCTGACGGATAATTTCCTTTCTTCCCAATGAATAATTTCTATCATACATTTAATTAACAAAGCAAAGCAATTTGGGGATATTTCTTAGATTAAGGTTTAATTTGGAACCAGTCAAAAATTGATTGATCAGTTTTTGCATGCAGTGTTTCCGCTTGCAAAGTTCAAGAGTCCAAAAGTGATGTGTGAATTTTTGCAGCATATGGACGTTTATTAAACAATACAATCTTTGAGTGGAAGGGGGCGTCCACAGGGACTGGTGTCACATTGTCAGAATATACAACTGGCTTCAGGCATCAGTATCGCAGGAAAGCAACTCCAACTCTAACGAAGCTTTATTAGTCATCTTCTTTTCTCTTTTAGACCTTGTGAATGTTTCGCTGCAAGTAGATGCGTATAAAGTGCTTGGATCTTGTTTTTTATTCATTTCCACTGGAAAAAATTGCAAAAAAGGGTCAAGAATCCCCTGAGATGCTTATGTAGGAAGCGTGTACAACCTCTTTAATCACTCTTCTAATGCATTGCATCACAGCCTCAGATATTTCGAACTCCCCCACAGACATCGCATTTAGCTCCCCGTTTGGTCTCATTGTCTACGCCACCGTGGGACCCTGCAGCTTTCCTTCCTGCGACTCCGATAGAGTGGGTTTTACTTTAATACATCTTAATCTGGTAAAGGTAAGCTTTAACGTAAAGAAGTAAAATACTGTGAAAGAAATACAACGCAAGCCGCTTTATAGACGTAAGAACATTATGACAAGACAAATGAATACATAGAGACAAATTTATTAGGTTTTGGCTACATACAAGATAAATGGTGGTGGAACATGTACTTTGTGATCCTTTGAAACATTTTTACTTTATTTACAGTCAAAGTGCTAAAAAAAAATGTAAATTTGTAAATTTGTTATAAAATAATTACTGATTTCACTTTAAAAATCAGGTAACTTTACGTTATTAAAGGTAAAGTTTAAACAGTAATGATTTATTGGTTAATGTCAAGTTGTCATAACAAAGACATTTTGAATAATGTCAACTTTGTATTAAAAGTGTCATAATTTACCGAATGACGCTTTATGACAACAGTCATAAATACTGATGAAGGCTTATTCATGTTCATGACAGGTGTTATGTCATGTTTATGAAAGTGTCATGTCAGTCTTATTCAACCCCCTTCAAATAAAGTGTTACCGTTTCTATTCGTCTCGCTTTTACAGTGACAGAATGACAAACTGAAGAATAGACGCAAGCTTTACTTTCTTTTACAGTTTAACAAAAGAAAAAAAAAACATTTAAAAGCAGGTGCAATACTGTAATAATTCAGCCATCGTGTCGTATCTTTCAGAAAAGGAAATTCTGTTCAATCTGAATCCTTGATCTTATTTGCACTTGAGCAGATTTATTTAATGAATGCATGAATAGACGATAACGACTGGCTATGTGCCCCCTTACTAAAATATGCCATTCAGATGAGAATACTGATTAAAGTGAGCACAATGCTATTGGAGGAAAGCAGAGTTTTGAGAGAATCCAGGTGAATCTTTCTTAGTAACTTAATTGCTTTTTGTAACATTTTGATTTTGTGTCTTGAAAAGTGGAATGTAGAGCATTTCTTATTTTCTTTTTTACTTGCAACCAGAATCAGTGTGAATAAAATGTGATTTAGAATGAAAATTATTTAAGAATGAATTATTTTTAAGATTATGTACTAAAAATGAATCAAAGTATTTCATATTGAGAGAAACGAATCTCCAGGTAGCCTACGTGGGTTTGACACGGTTTAAGTTACAGATATGAAAAGCAGGCTGGGATGAAATGGTAATGCATCGATACAAAGTGGTGTATAAATTGGCGAAGAGGGAATTGACTGAAAGGATCTGAGCAAACACAAAGTCGGTTTCTGATGAATTCATACCTTAAAAAGTCCTTTAAATACTTAGAAATTGAGTGGAATACAGAAGATGGCTTGAGGAAATAAAAAAAATAAATAAATGGAAGCAAGTACACTTTAAAAAGCCCAGTACACAGCAGCCATGTTATGTTTTTTGTTGTTGTTGTTTTTCCATGGAAAAACAAAAGTGTTGCCAGAAATTATTGTTCACCTGTATCATCCACCTTTCTTGGTTTCCGGCAACATCAGCTGTTGGTTGTTTTCTGTACCGGCAAGCAAATTGTTGGCATTAATAAATTTGGCATGGAAGAAAATCAAAGCTGCACGCAGAAAGCCACGACCTCAGTCAGTGCAGGACGACGCGTAGGGCCGACTCCGTGCGAGACGATATCGCCAAGCATCACCGCCTCGCGGCGGAGAGGAAGCTAGTCCCTGCGTACAGCCTCTGAAATCCCGTGGAAAGTTGAAGCTGTCACGATGGCATGTTAGTTCAGATGTTTCACTGTTTGGGACTTTCATGCTTGGGGTCTTGAGGTTGAGGAACGGCTGGTGTAAGACTAGTCGAGAGCATCTGTGGAGATCTGGGCCACTGTGTTGCTGTGGACTCTGCGGTTCAAGGGGATTACTGTCGTCTTGGAGGGCATCGAAGTTTTGGCGTTTTCTGACGACCAGTGAGCGCAGTGGAACAGGTCCAGGAAACACCTGTAGAACTGAGAAACAGAAGAACAAAAAAAAAGATAAAGATACACAGCGAATAGATTTATCCTCATCTTTGGATCGGGAGTGTTTTTCTTTTATCTAATTCTGTGTTTGTACAGAGTATCCCTACAAAAATGATCTTTTTAGCTTCCAGATTAAAACAGAGGGCATCGCAGCAGGTAATAATAAAGAACAGAACAAACTTCTAATAGCTCAGTGGTTCAATTGTGAAAAATTATTGAAAATAAAATGTGCAATTTCGTAAAGAGTAATTTACGATAAGATTATCTCCTCGGGGTGCTGTCATGAAGATAAAAGTATTTTCCTTTCCAGATATTATGGAACTGAGCTGTACAAGAAAAAACATGAAAAAGTGCCATTTTATCCATTCATCTTCTATACCAGCAGTGTCACCATTCGCCAACATCACAGGACAAAAACAGACACCATTTTCTGCTTTTACACATCAGCTTATCCATAATGATAGGTATATATAGGCATACATATTGTCTGGTTTTGCACTTTATGCCACAGAACAAAAGACTGAGCACATCAACAAATGTCTAAGTAAATATGTTTCTAATGTTTTTTGTTTTTTTTACTTCCACCAAATGTAACACAAATGATCCAAACATACAGGGAAATAAAGGCACAACAATAACACAAATAAGTGCAAATATTAAGTTATTTGTAGTAAACACAAAGAAGTTGGAAAAGTCTATAGAAAGTAAGAAAATGCTGAACTTACAGATATAAACGTTTGGCATGTTCAATATTTAAGCCCCAAAGGTTTTTTTTTCTGTTTTTTTTTTTTTTTTTTAGCCGCGGGGGGGGAATAATTTTAAAAAAAATGGGGCCTACTAAACATGTCCACAGTTTGACAGTTTGCTGAAAATGTTCACATGGAGAGAGCAACAGCGGAGAAGGTTTAGACATGTGGAGACGTTTAGGGCTGCGAGCGCAAAAACAATCGCCGGGGACTGAATGATAAACCAAACTCGGCAGGAAAGAGCAGAGCGATGATGGATGACAAAACTACTAATATATATTTACGCCGACCGCCATTTGTGTTCCCAGCATGTCGCAGCAAGAAGCTCTCCTGCTGTGGGGACCGAACTCACTCTTCATACATTGTTTTCATCTCTGTTTTCAGTTGGGGTTTTTTTCCCTGGGGCCCATTTCAGAACGTGGGCTTTGTGAAAATTCAGAGTAGGTTTTGGGGTAAGCATGTGCATAACCCTGGGGGTTTCGGTTTCAGAAAAGTGGGTGCCATTTATTCTGAGTCATCTTACTACCGCCGCTTGCACCGTGAACCAACGCTGCTCTGTAGCAGAGTTGTTTGAACAAACTATGAGTCTGTCTTACAGTTTTCCATGAGACATGGCAAGGAGAGTGTCAGAAATGACGAGTCATTTTCTAGTGCAGCAGATATCTTGGCCAGGGGAGGCTGATGAAATGTACAGTCTTTTTTTGCTGCAGACAGCAATTTATCTCAAAGTTTCAGCCCCTCTCATCACTGGTATTTTTATACTAACTGCATGCTGTCAGGAATGTTACTGTAGCACCTAAAATGTGCTACAAAAAAAAGGTGCCCATGATGTGGATGTGACTCCATCTCTCTCTAACACGAGGTTCTCTTTAGCAAAATGGTGCGAAATAGAAACATCAGCATTAAATAAAAATAAATAAATAAATTAAACTTGTTTGCAAAAAAAAAAACAAAAAAAAAAACGTATGTTTAAGGCTGCAAGTATTTCAAACATAAACACTGGACTTTCTCTCTGTTCACGTTGACGTTGCAGGCATTCTCCTGATGATGGCGCTGTGTGAGCAGGTGCACGTGTACGAGTACATTCCCTCCATGAGGCAGTCCGACCTGTGCCACTACCACGAGCGTTACTACGACGCCGCCTGCACGCTGGGCGCCTATCACCCGCTCCTCTACGAGAAGATCCTGATCCAGCGCATCAACACGGGGCCCCAGAGCGACCTCCGGAGGAAGGGACGCGCAACTCTTCCGGGCTTCAGCACCATCAACTGTGACATTTGAAATATGAAACCTGTCTGAGCCTGAAAGTAAAAAAAAAAAAAAACAAATAAAAAAAACTGCATACACTGGTCTTGCTGGTTGACCAAGGGAGAGTTGCAATAAAGCCACAGCAGACAAGAAGGCTGAGGCTTACTCGTTTCCAATTAGTCCCCAGTAAGAGCATAAGCCATAGCCTCCAGGGAGGGATCAGCTCCGAGGTCGTCTAAAGACCTTGTCTTCTCTAATAATTTACTTGACCAGAGACTGGAGAGGTAAAACACAAAACCTCTGCTTTAGCTGAGCCACGTTAGCTGTGGAGCTGACTAGAGTAGCAACAAATCATTGTTTTAGATAGAAAGTCAGTTTTTAATAACTTGGTGTGCATCAGTCATGTTAAAAAAAAAAAAAAAAAAAAGTTTTGCAGTTTTATGGGTGGTAATCCACTTAAAGGAAAAGCCACAGTTTATTACTTCAGATTTCTTTTCTTTTTTTAACAATCCAGAGTAGCGCGAGTGCAGAGAAGAGTCACTCTGAAGTTCATGCTCTGCTTACTGCAGCAACGCAAAGAATGTGCAGTTTTTAAAAGACGGATCGTCCGCATTACTGTACATATCTTCCAGCAGAATCAGGAGCCGTTTCGAGTCGTCACAAGGGGGTTCGGTTCTCACTACTGGTGTTACGATTGGTCTAAAATCACTGTTCTTGCACGATGACTGAAAGATCACAGTTGAGGTTTTTTTCTTCCTTTTTTTTCTGTTTTAGGATGCACTTGTTTTGTAAAAATTGAACATAAATGGGGGCCAAAAAATAAAACGGGTGCTGAGAACGGCCATTACCCCGTGCCTGATGGTCAGCTGAACACTTTCCTCGGGTTGCCTTGTCACTGTTTCGATTAAATGCAGTACACTCTGCGGCAGGACTGCATTGCCATCTGGTCTGATTGTGATGCCGTGTGGAGCAGTGGACTTTCCTGCAGTCATAAACTTCTCAGCTCTGCCTCAACAATCACCAGCCCCTCAGATTTTAGTTCCCCCCCCCCCCCCCCCCCCCCCCGCCCCTCTCCCCCTTTTTTTTTTTTT